GAACTCGAGAAAAGTTGATTCCTGAATTGACCCAGCCATTCCCAGTCTAGACAATATACGAATGGACTTTTCGAAATTGGTTCCGACTTGAGCGTTATGGATTGTGTGGAATTTACTGTTTTAGGTCTAACTTCTCATAATACATAGCAGTTCGATTACCAAATAATAATTATGGTTGCATAACACGTATTTAATTGATAGGGTTACTTTATAATTTTTTAAGATTCAAAAAGTCGATCACAAATTTTTCACAACTGCAACTGTTTTTATGGAAATAATATTTTATTTTTTTATTATTCTAATCATTTGAACACTGTACATCATTTAACGTACTTGTGTGGTATACATACCAGTAAGTCGATATTGAGAGTAGTCATAAACCACATTCATACGTTGACTGTTTATCAAATATTTGATTTACCACTCTATTTGTTACTGTGCCTTCACTAAACAATATAATTTAGTACACATACATTGCATTCAATATAATATCATGTATACGTTCAGTTTCATAATAATTCATTTTCATAACTTCAATAAAAGCACAATTCATCAATACAGAAAATGTCAAAATAATGACTACGCTGCAGGGTGTGAATAATACAGTAAATGTAATCACGTAATCACATTTCATTCATAATGACGGTTGACAAATAGCTATTAATGTCCTCGACGAATCCGATTAACTGACGATGGATATGAGTGCTGACTATCAACATGAATGTTCCCTCAATAGCTAGTTTATTAGCGAACCAATCAATCAGTTTCCACGCCAAACAAACTACCAATCAACTGAACAGCAGACCTTATCAATACGTTTAATTAACCGTCTATGAAAAGCTACCATTATGTCAATAGTAGTATTCGTGTAATAATCTTCAAGAGAGTTATTCGTCTGTAAATAATTTATGATCGGCCTCTTGTAATAACGAACCTAACAATATACGTCTAGGTAACTACAATCTTAAGGTCTGAAACCAAAGTGAACGTATGTATTGTAGAAACAAACGAATCCTAACAATCTACATATAATACTTACTGTTAGATATTATTATGTAATTATTATAAAAATTATATATACATCATGTATTATGTTAATATTTATTACCTTTAGGGCCCCGAAGGATGGTCTCTTGCAATTTTTTTATTGAGATTACATATTATGATATATGGGTGACAACAACATTGATGTTTAGATCCAATATCTAATATAGGAAGAAAACACATAACAATCCCAAGTAATCTTAATATCCAAACTGATATATTTACAGAAAAAAAAATATAAAATTTCATCTTCATTTTACAAAGCGATTCTATATTTTCTATTTTTAAATGACTTCCAAAAGGAAGATTTTGTCAATTCGCCTATGTTTTCTTGTGCATATGTTACTCTACTTAATCTAGAGTTTAGTGTTAATCCCATATTAATCCTGTCACGATTACCAAATTTTAAGTATATGTATACATATACATACTGCAATAAAGTTTAGCGTTCGAACCGTTCTTCAACAATAAACACGATTTCCTTTCATTAATTAACAAATTGTATATTGTGCAATGTTTGCCTCCCGGTAAAATAAAACGTTCATCGAATTGTTCCTTTGTGGTGTATATTTACATAATCAGCACAATTACTACCGTATATATATACAATACGCGAAATCCTGTAAAATCGGGCTGATAATGTAAATAAAAATCACAAAGAAACATATCAATTAGCGTTTTATTCTACCGTACAAAATATGTTTTATTCTCCAGTGGAAATAAAACATTTTTCTCCCTTATTTTTTTTTTTACTGAAAACTAATACTCATATATACTGAGTGAATTAACAGACGCTACATATATTTATCCCAATAATGTATTTCGGTGTTATATTATACTCGTACATCGAACCATTACCAACAAAGTTGCTATTTTCTTCTACATAACAAATATTCTAGAAAAGCTTGAAAGAGCATTTTTTGGATATTCTTTCTGAGTTTTAATACTCATATGATGGGATATGGTAGATAACTGTTTGTAATGAATTTTAATATAAAAAAGATAGAATACTCTGTTGATATTTTAATGAGTTTAGTTATAAGTTTACGTCAATAACAACAGTTATATCAACCAGATTAATCTGTACAGACTGCGACTGTTTGTTAGTGATTACTCGTTATATATCAATTATACGAGTAGTTAAGTGTTGTATCATGTTTAAGAACATGTCAAAGGACCGTCTTATTATTACCTAAACGTCGCAAAGCTTTATAGAAGTTTATATCAATTATTTACGAACACGAAATTGAATATATTACGAAATATGTTATTACGCGACATGTTGTGTACTCGATATAATTTTATATCTTTTACGTATTATTAGGGAATAAATCATAATTAAATGTAACATAACGAGTAATTGTCTCCTTATATATAATATAATTTAATACAATATAATGTATATTAATATGTTCCTTCGAGGTCGATTCTAAAGTAATTCTGTAGAGCCATCTCCAAAACACTGTTTTAAAGTTTCACAGTTGTTTACTGTAACTTTATACATTATAACGAAATATTTAGATACCGTGATTATTGTTTTTACGAGCTGCTGATATTCAGTAACCTTTATTAGAGTTATCTAAATATCGAGAGTTCAAATAAAGGATAATCACCGTAAATATCCCGTTGTAATGCGTTATACAAAATCCTCTGGATTTAGACAGAATGTTAAAAGGTTTATAGAGTTAGAAAATGCTAGATGTTAAAAATTTTATACCACTATTTTTATTTTTATATCGCGGTTTATTTAAATTGTACTTTTTTATTTGCTATTTTTTTTAATAAATATTTATGTGTATTAAAAAAAAACACTATTTGAGAGATCGATAAACACCACTAAATACTTTAAAATAATTTTCAGAAATCAGTCAAAAATACTAGTTTCTTTAATATTTGAGTTTTTAAACTTAAATATAGATATATGTATGTAAATATATAAATATGAAGGATAATATTACCAATGTGGCAATTAGTGATCTTTGGCGACTATTACCGTTGTGAAGAAATCCTCATATACTACACTTGATTTGTCGCTGACATACAAATGAATTTGTTGTCTTAATTATGTTTTCTATTACCAGATAATTAGTCGGCAATTTAATTGATAATATTGATATCTGTAAGATTCGAATTCACGAGTTTTATGGTCTGTACATCCAGGTAGTATACCACACAGACTCGACGTTCCATATTATTTCACAATAATCTTAATATATATAACAACTAAGACTGTGTCCCACAAAAAAATCGACTTCATTTAAAAACTAAACTACTGAATCAATTATAATAATATAATTTCTATGGTGGTTCAATAGAAATTTTATTATATCTGTAAGTATATCCTTTCAGATAGAAAAAAAAAAAAAAAAAAAAAAAAACTTTTTATTTGTTTATAACTGATAAAAGTTATAAAGTAACAAACATAAAACAACCGAATTGAGAACCTCCTTCTTTTTTTTTTGAAGTCAAATGATGATTGGTTTAAACTAATTTCCAAAACTGCTCAGTTGAGCAAGGAAATTTACAAAATGTGATTAAAGTCAGTTGACTTCAATCACATTTTGTAAATATTTCTTTCAACTTGTGAAATAGGAGAAATGAACAAATGATAAAAAAAATTAACCCAGCAAATGGTGGTAGGGGGCAAAAAGACGTTTGCTAGGTCAATTAATATATTTATTTCTTAAAGACTTCAAAGGAAAGATTACGATTTATCTGTATTTATATCGCTAGCTCTGGTATACCGGATTATTATCTTTGATATCAAAATTTCAAAAGTTCCTCAAACTTGAAAGGATTTCTGTTAATTGGTTATATGAACTCCAAAAGTTATGAAGTACATTCCTAGAGGCTATTCAGTTCTAACAATTAACCTTGATATCATAGTTAAAAAATTTTTTCTGGAATTTCGCTGTTTTCTCGCTGTCCCTCGTTGTCAAAGTTGTTGTCTAGTTGCTTCCTACAGTTTAATATAGTTTTTGCACCCCTCACCCCTTTCTACCCCCCGTTGCAAGTAGTTTTTTGTTATTTAGAAATCTCAAAAATTCTCTCGTAAATTGTCTTTTTTCGTCGTTTTTTCTCCTCGAATTAGTTAGTTTTCGTTCCCTGTTGTCGTTAGTCTACATATCATCCCCCTACCCCCGTCAACCCCCTGAATTTTGACTATTTACCTACACGAAATCGTACTATTTCTCCCCAATTTTCTCCCCCCCTGTCGCATATAGAATTTTTCTAGTATTTTTCCCGTGCTGTGCGCTCCGTCCCGAGTGCATTGACACCACACTTGTCCCCATAGGAGCACTTTTGCGAAATAGCATCGAACCGAGCCTACCTAAGCGCTCCAAGATTCAATAATAACATATCATAGTTAAAAAATTTTTTCTGGAATTTCGCTGTTTTCTCGCTGTCCCTCGTTGTCAAAGTTGTTGTCTAGTTGCTTCCTACAGTTTAATATAGTTTTTGCACCCCTCACCCCTTTCTACCCCCCGTTGCAAGTAGTTTTTTGTTATTTAGAAATCTCAAAAATTCTCGTAAATTGTCTTTTTTCGTCGTTTTTTCTCCTCGAATTAGTTAGTTTTCGTTCCCTGTTGTCGTTAGTCTACATATCATCCCCCTACCCCCGTCAACCCCCTGAATTTTGACTATTTACCTACTCGTAATCGTACTATTTCTCCCCAATTTTCTCCCCCCCTGTCGCTTTTAGAATTTTTCTAGTATTTTTCCCGTGCTGTGCGCTCCGTCCCGAGTGCATAGACACCACACTTGTCCCCATCGGAGCACTTTTGCGAAATATTTGCCCGCCCACCCACCCGTTTTTCACTTCTTAAGGTGAAGATATCGGACTAAATTTCGGAATTTCTTTTTACTTCATTATCTGATAGGTTTTAGTCTTCCCTATACTTGCGATATATTGGAAACTAATTTCCACATCATTCCAGTGGTACCAAAACATAGAAATGCCGCTGACGCGGTCACCTGTTAGACGACCGGTAAACCTACCGTCCGAAGCATCTGAGGCTCAAATTATGGAGCCGCTGCCCCCGCAAGAATCTACCTCCCCGTCCACGCCTCAGTCATCAAATTTTCTCCCATCATGGAGGTCAATTGTCGATAATTCATCTAATAGCAGCCACCAAAGCACAGTTTCGTCTCTACCTCTCAGCAAAACCTTTATCGCATCAGGTCCCACAGCCACTATGCCGTTACATAGTCAACAGTCAGCCAACGTTTCTGAAGCTTCTATATCTGAACAAATCCAAACATTAGCTATGGACATAGTGGGCACTTTGAGACAGTCCAAATCAGTCACAGCGGAAATGCGGAATCGAGCAGTAGATACTGCACACCAAATAGTCCTAGTTGCCAATAGATCACTCTCCCGTCGGGCTGAGGAATCCGAGGCAGATATCGTTGAGCATCGGCAAGAAATAGCCTCAGTTCGACAAGAGTTAAGTGATATAAAGGAGTTAGTAACCAATGCGCTTACCGCACCACCTAATAATCTCTCCCAACCGGAGTTCTTAGTGACTCGTGATCCACAGATACCAAGTTCCATATTAGATGCCATTATGGATGAAATTCGCGAGCTTCGAAAGGAATTGACAGAGCGGAATGCATATTGTGCCGCTTCGCATGTAACACGCAGTGAACTTCATGAAATTCTCCGTGACAATATGGAGCCCTTTAGTAAGGAACTAAAAACCGTCACTACTACAATGCTGGAACTCAAAGAAGCAAAACACGATGAGGTTATTGCCCTAATGAATGAACAAGGCTCCGCCCTTGCAACCGACTTGGCACTAGCGGAGGTGAGAACTCAGCTAAACCAAATCCAGACTCAAGTTAACAACAATACTGAGATGGCTAGGCAAGCTGCCAATTACAAGGATAAGGAGCCCACTAAACAGCCGCCTCTGGAGGCACCGAATCCAGATGATCGTTTACATTCAGCCCAAACGCAAAAGGAGAGAAATCAACGGCCCCGTAGTTATGCAGAGATTACGGCTAAGCCCAACTTTGCAGTTCTCTTAGAGTCAGCTGATCCTCGCAAAACTAGCGAGGATGTCATTAAACAGGTAAAACAGAGTGTGAACGTAATTGAGCTTGGAATCGGTGTCAACCGAATAACCAAGATAAAAAACCAAAAGGTAATTATGAGTTGCAGTTCCCAAGAAGAGCGAAAAGCGCTCCAAAATGCTATACGAGAGAAATGTACCCAAGTATCCGCAAAGAGCGCTAAAGACAGACTCCCGCAAGTTAAACTGTTAGGAGTTATTAATGACCTAACTAATGACCAAGTAGAAAAGGCACTTATCAATCAAAATAAGAGACTACTATCCTCAGTGCAAACAGATTCTACAGTTAAAGTTGTCCGCAGAACCAAAGGCAGAACGCAGGAAACAAATAACATAATTCTTGAAGTCTCCCCTATAGTATGGAACGCCGTGAAAGGGCAAAAACTTCACATAGGGTTACAGTCTGTCCAGGCAGTAGACCAGTCGCCTATAGTACAATGTTATAAGTGCATGGGATATAACCATAAGGCGGCGGACTGTAAAGACCAGGTTAAATGTGGTTATTGTGCGAAAAACCACGATACCAGAGAATGCAGGAGTCGTGATTCCCTGCCCCGTTGCTGCAATTGCACATTAGCAAAAAGACAGGATACGGCGCACCCATCCTATAGTCAAGAATGCCCCGATTGGCAAAAGTGGGATGGGATAGCCCGTTCCGCAGTACAATATTGCTAAGGGCAGCAACGAGAACAGGGCTAATATTGCCCAATCGCCACAGGAACGAATCAAAATAGTTCAAGTAAACCTCGGAAGAGGATACGCGGCAACACAGGAATGCCTCTCCGAGGCCACCGATCAAGGTTACTCTATAATGCTCTTGCAGGAACCATATGTAGGATCCAAAGGCTTCTTAGCTCTTGGCACTAAACATCGAATCTATCAACATCCAACCGTTAATAGCACACAACCAGTAAGATCAGCCATTGTTGTATTGAATCCCAATCTCCGCATTATTGAAAGTTCACAATGGACCACCCGTGACATAGTAGCAATAAAACTAAAAACTGATACTGCAACCATAACTATTATTAGTGTATATCTAGATAAGACCTATAACATTGAACAATCTATTACATCTCTTCAAACGATAATAAACGCGACTGATTCGACTAATCTTGTTATAGCAGGTGATGTAAATGCTAAGAGTCCTTGGTGGGGATGCGACACTGAAGATGTTAGGGGATCGGTTCTTGTAGATGTCATATTTGGTTTAGGTATGGAAGTTCTCAACGAGGGATCCCAACCGACTTTCTCCGTCTTCCGTCAAGGACAACACTGTCGAAGTATTATTGATATTACTGCTTGCTCAGCCCACATTTTAAATCAGCTCACAGATTGGCAAATTAAGCCTAATCTCTGCTCATTGACAGACCATATTCCTATTTCATTCACTATTACCACTCATAAATTGAATTGTCCAGAATCGTCAATTTCTTCCACGCGAATGTATCATACTGTCAATGCCGACTGGACCATATTTGAAGAGATATTAAAGGACACATTAGCATCGCAAAACATCAATTCTCACTCTATACAGAATATAAGTAATACTAAAGACCTAGAAAGTACTGTTGAAAAATACCAAGAAGCAATCACTAATGCTTGCAGTGGAGCAATACCCAAAGTTGAAAAATCTACGATGAAAGCGAAGTCGAAGTGGTGGACGAAAGAATTAAGTAAACTCAAAGCAGAAGTCAAAAGGATAAGGAATAAAATAAAGAAAGCTAATGCACACAGGAAAGATATAATAATAAAAGAATACTTGGAGAAAAAGACAGAATATAAAAAAGCAATAGAGGAAGCTATAACTAAAAGTTGGAAGAAATTTTGTACAACAGAAGAAAAAGAGACAGTTTGGGAAAGAACATATAGAATTCTTAAATACAGTGGTAAAACTATACGAGAAAACCTACTCATTAGCGATGATGGAAATACTCTTACATCAGATGAATCTGCAATATTAATGGCTAATACATTCTTTCCTGAAGATGATCCCTCAAACGACACTGACGAACAGATAGATACAAGACAAAGAATAGATAAACTTAGAGGAAAAGAGCTCCCATTAAATAGAAATATCATGCTGTTTACGAAAGAAGAATTACATAGTTCACTCAAAAGCATGAAAGCTAAGAAAGCCCCTGGAATTGATGGTTTCACTGCCGACATCTGCAGGAAAGCATATGACTCTGACCCTGACACACTACTGGCAATATACAACCAATGTCTATTATTCAGTTACTTTCCTGAAGTATGGAAAAAGGCCTTTATCAGAATTATACCGAAACCAGGGAAATCAGAATATAACCATCCAAAGGCCTTCCGTCCAATTGGGCTTCTGCCCTTGTTGGGGAAGATTCTTGAAAAGATGGTTGCTAAACGTTTACAGTGGGATCTCATAACTAATAGTTCTTTACATACGAATCAATATGGTTTTATTCCCCAACGTAGCACGGAGGACGCATTAACTGATGCCCTATCCTTAATAGAGGAGGCACTGACCAACAAGCGTATGGCAGTCATGGTCTCCTTGGACATCCAAGGAGCATTTGACAGTGCATGGTGGCCAGCTATAGTGACACAATTGGAAGAAAAGAATATCGACACGGACATTCTCCATCTCATCGCTTCATACCTTTCTGACAGAAAGATTGTATTGAGTTACTCCGGTAGTATACTGACCAGAACGACGAACAGAGGGTGTATTCAAGGTTCTATCTGTGGTCCTACCCTCTGGAATGTGCAACTGGATCAGGTATTGGAGTCTACTCAATACCCACATGTCAGAATTCAGGCCTTTGCTGACGATATTCTCTTAATAGCCCAAGGAGATACAGGCGAGGAAATTGAAGGTAATCTTAATTCTGCACTAACAAAACTGGTAGCATGGGGGAAGAAACTAAAACTTCAGTTTGCACCGCAAAAAACACAAGCTGTCCTATTTACAAGAAAAATCAAATACAACACCCCTAAATTGGTAATGGATGGTATACATATACGGTTACAAAAAGAACTTAAAGTCCTTGGATTAACAATAGATCAGAATCTAAATTTTAGAAAGCATTTAAGTAACGTAACAAAGAAAGCACTTAACATTTATAAGTCCGTATCTAGAATGGCTAGGGCCCAGTGGGGCTTGAATTCTGACATTTTAAAACTTATTTACCGAACAGTAGTGGAACCCACAATTTTATACGCTGCAAGCTGCTGGGCGCAAACCACCAACAAACGATCAACTTGCTCTCTCCTCGATAGGGTTACCAGACTATTTGCAATAAAAATAATTAAAGGTCATCGTACTACATCATTCACAGCCAGCGTTACCCTAGCGGGTATCCTCCCACTAAAATATAGAGCAATAGAACTGGCAGAGCTATATCAAATTAAAAAAGGTAAACCACTGGAGAGCCTGCCGGGAAGAGAGTTTGAAACACGTACGCCTTTGGCCGCTTTACCGCATCCATCATCCAGATCTAAAATCGAATTCACAATAATAAACAATCAGGACGAAATCAATGAGATTATTGACAACACTTTACCTCAAATCTATACGGATGGTAGTAAGATACAGGATAGAGTTGGTGGCTCTGCGTCAAGCTGGTTTAACGGCAAAGAGGTTTGGTCCACTACTTTTCGTTTGGAAGATTTTTGTTCAGTATATCAGGCGGAACTCATGGCGATTCTTAAAGCTTTAGAGTATATGAATAAAAAACGTGACCATATACAGGCTAATATACTTAGTGATTCAAAATCAGCACTGCAAAGCATTGCGGATCCATGCTCTCTTCATCCACTCACAATAGAAATAAGAAATCGGATAAAGAACCTAATGGAACGCGGAGGCAAAGTTTATTTTTATTGGGTAAAGGCACATGTAGGAATCCAGGGCAATGAACGAGCAGATGATTTAGCAAAAACTGCTGCCTTAAAGAAAAGGGCAAAACCTGCCTATGACCGCTTTCCTCTATCTCTAGTCAAAAGGGAACTCAGAGAAAGATCAGTTGAAGCATGGCAAACAGAATATAGTAACTCGTCGACAGGCAGCAATACTAAGATCTTCCTTCCAGATGTCAGGAAAGCGTACAAAATTCTGCAAAAAACTAAGTTTGATAGTGTCACTACTCACCTTTTGACTGGGCATGGAGGAAATAGGTCATACTTGCACAAATACAAGTTAATCGACTCTCCAGCATGTAAATGTGATGACGAAACGCCGCAAACTATCATACATATAATAACAGAATGTCCTAGATTTGCAAAAATAAGATATAACTGCGAATGCCTAATTAACAGTAAAATTACTGAGAACAACCTGGAGCATATCTTTCATGACGATGAAACAAGACCTTTTTTCTTGAATTTTGCAAAGACCACCCTCCGAATAGTAGGAAAGGAGAACGGAACCAAGAATCTTGATTGACAATTTTACTGGAACAGATTTGAATAAATTATTATGTTACATATTATATATATTAATAAAGTAGAAGAAAAAAAAAAAAAAAAAAAAAAAAATAAATAAAAAAAAAAAAAAAAAAAAAAAAAAAAAAAAAAAAAAAAAACCAAGTAGACCTTCAATAGCAAAACTAAAATAGCAAAAAAGTTGTCGTATAAAAATTAACGACAGAAAATAAAGTATCTTTTTAAAAAAAAAAAAAAAAAAAAAAAAAAAAACAATTAACCTTAGATGCTTTTGTCTTAATCTAATGTAAATAAGAATATTATTAGAGCACAATATATTTACATAGTACCTATACCAGTCAAAGATAACGCTTAACATTTCTCATCGAAAAACAAATCACAGAAGAGCTATTCCAAAGTCTAAAGTTAACGCTTGAAGAGGTGCAAACGGAAAGCTACGTCTGCTTTGAAATCCATTTTCATATAAACATTTTCTGCTAGGACGTGCTCCAGCTTACGAAACCATGTTTCTGTAAACATCATGCTCGTTAAATTGTTGACATTTAATATCTACCCTTTGACTGTCCACAACGATAGGCGAATTTCCTCCAAGAGAAACCGATCTATTGGAAAATGATATTTTCTTTCTTTACTTTTTTTATTTTCATTACATTGAGGGGATGGAAATGGGCTCAGCAACTGTAACTGTGTCATAAATAACACTGGACCAACAAAACGGCTTTTAGCGGATCATTAAGAATTGTCAGTCAAAAATAATCTTTTTGCCTTTTTAAACATGATATTATTAAAAAAATACTAATGATATAGTAGTAGTATTTTAATATAATAATATAATAAAGAACATAATATTGTTTACAGTATTGCGGCCTTATTTTTGACCTTATAAACAAAAAGTGGTAAACAAATTTCAATATTCAAACTCAAATTATGGAATGCACATTTAATAGCATTACGTGATTAAAAAGTATAAGTTTGTAGTCATTTGTAGGCACTTTGCGACGTCCCCTTTAAGATTTTATCGTAAAGTGGTAATTTATCTTTCTTTAGAATTCAGCGCAAAATATTTGGTAGTTAAAGTGTTTTCGTAATTATTATAAAGAAAAGTATTACAAAACTATATAAATATTTCGTTCTCGATCGTCTACAAGGGTAAAGCACAAATTATTTGGTGTACAAACATGGAATTTTGCACTCATATTGCACATTTTTGACAAAGCCCGTGAGAATAGAAGGTGCCGGGTTTCGCGCGGACGAACACAGCGAAATTTTCTTCTAGATTTTACATAAGGTTAATATTATTATATTATATTATTTTTTAATATTCTACTTTAATAACTGTCATAGAACAAACTAGTACATCATCTTCCTACCCTTATCCCAATCATTTGTGGTCGGCATAATATGATTTTATCCATATTACGAAAAGATTTGGTTTTTAGTGTTACGACCTGCCTGACGTCAACTCTCTTTGGGAATGACTAGTACATAGACTATCAAAACATAAAGAGGTAATACTAATAGGAATTTTTATTTTAATCATATCGGTTTTTGATAGTAGTAAGAGGAGCTTTTTAAATATTCCGTGTGGGCAGATGACCGCAATGAATGAATTAGCCACCGAATTGATGGCATACCACGAAAAAATATTTTTAATATAACTTTTCGGATTGCTTAGAACGCTGACGCAAGAATTTTTACTGCCGTAGTGGATGTTTGGCATTTTCTGTGCTACATTGTCATATCATGTTTGTCACATACACTGACTATGCGATTTTTATTAAAAAAAAAAAGGATGGATTTGCCAAATTTACACACATTTATTTATTACTACAAAATCGACATCAATCTAGATCTATTCAAATTGCAAATATACATAGGATAATTAATATTTTATATGATGTATAAAATTTGCAATCTATTTAGCGTGTTTTCGTTAAAGTTCCAAGAATACCGGCAGTGTTAAATTAACACCTTATTAGGTGTATAATTATGTATTTACAGTTTTATATAAATTCTTTACTCTTTGTATCTTTTAGTTGGAAATTCGTAAAATATTATGGTTATTAAAACATATCAATATTACGGACGGTAGGGAAAAAAATAAAATTATAATGTAAAAATTTGACGTTCATAAGCGGCTAAAATGTCCTACATGAATAAATGATTTTTGAATTTGAAAATTTGAATTTGAATTTGAATATCCTACGACGGAACAGTTGATCTTAGTATTAATTTATATTAATTGTAATAGTTATCTTATTTACCCTTTGTACTTAACAACTGTATTAAGTACAAAAATCTATATTAACCAAAATACTGTGCTTAAAAGCTTTCTGATAAAGCCATTATTTGTATTTTATTTAAATACCTAAATAAAACGGATCGGTCACAAATGAAAATATGCGCATATAAAGAACACATTAAATATTAGGTATTAATAAATACTCGAAAGGTAGATATCCCTAGGTAAATAAATAAGATAAAACGAAACTTGTGGCGAGTAATAAACTTTTCAAAACTTCGGTTCGCTCATTGCTATTCCGATTCTACTTTTATTCGGACTAAAAGTTTTAAACTGATTTCCGACTTAAGTCACGTTTGAAAGTATAATTATTTAAAAGATGGGAAAAGATTGTAATTTTATAGATATATTTTTATAGTGTTTAGTGTGATTTTCTATTACAATTTTCACAGTATCATCACATATAAATATCACTGTTCACAACGGGAACGTTTAAATCCAAATCCAAGATGTAGTGCACGTGGGATTAGATTGAAAGACGCAAGGCGCGGGTGGTTGAAAGTTCAGCGAGGGATGCTGGCGCCGCGACGCGCTTTCAGGACGCGAGACGCCGTGCCACTGGCGAGCTGCGGCGCCGCCCGCCCGCCACTACGCGCATCCAACGCATCTCACGCACGGACAAGCCAATTTTTATCCTAATTGATTAATACAAATCATATTTTTTAATTTCAATAAAATATTTGCATTTTTTTATTGTATAATAAACCCATGGAATCATATAGTAGTGGTTAAACGAAACACATGAAATAACTTTATTTTTTATAATTATTTAGCCTAATATACTGTAAATGTAACTTTTACAGCCAATCAATGTACTTGGTTACGCCCTTTGTGGTAAAAAAAAAAATACTAAAACAATTTTCTTAAAACATTCTAAGTCTCACCACTGTATCGTCGGAAATATGTATCTATAAGTCATGTAAAACCATATTTGAAACTCATTTTACTATTGCGAAGATCACTAGAAAGATGAGAGTGTAGCAAATTGATTTTTTTATATATTTTTCTTCTTTTTTATTCTTATTCAATCATTTTTATATATAATTTCAATACTTATAGACCAAACACTAATTAACACTAATAAGCATAAAGCTTGCTTCGATGAAGGAATGTCTAGAGACGAAATAAAAAATTGTTGATGGATGGTAATTTCAAAATTAAATATATTTAATGAACATATTAAATATATTTAATATAAAAAATTGAATTCGTAATTTCCTATGAAACAAGGATTAAAACGATTTAAAGATTAATTTACAGGACTAAAATCCCATTAAACTAATTATTTAAGTACATCTTATCTTCAAACAGGAGATATTCCTGTTTGATGATTCCTGCAGATAGATTTATACAGGTTGTATCGTCTACTTGTTTAGTCGCTTTGGCAAAATCGTCCTAGGTTTCTTGACTGCTCGTGTCCCAAAAAGAAAGTAATTTCAAATTTGAATTACCATTTGAATATATATTGATAGAAATGGAATATCAGAATATCTTCATTTTAATTTAATCAATCTCAAAGTTCTTTAGATATATTCACCGAAACCCAAATAATATCGATCTCATATTGCTATTCAGATAGTCAATAGAAATTTTATCTATTGTCATTGCTATTCATCGAATGTATTATATACGCTCATTGATAACAAAGGGAAAAAGTATTGAAATTGTCGTTTAGTGGTTCTATAAAGGTTAGAACTATTAGTGCGTGATGAAAGAATTTCCCAAATTTTGCATTATATAACATAGACAAAGGAATCTCTCATATATTTATTGCAAATATACGTGGATTTTCAATATCGTAGTTCCTGTTATTATGTGTGCATTCAACATAGCTAATAAATTGTATTATAATAATATTTGTACCCATCTAAACTTGAGGGAATTAGACAATCACTTAATCATAAAAATGTATATATCTCATTATCATAGTCATCATCATCAGTCTACTAATAAACATAGGCTTCCCCCTAAGACAGACATAAGAATATATATATATATATATATATATATATATATATATATATATATATCAGGAAATTTTATGAACTTACTATATTTGTCGACAATTGTTATAGCAGCCCCGTTGCCGTTGTTTTATGAATAAATCACGATAGATCCACTGACTTTTATTCAGCTATATAATAACCCCTCATTGGAACTCCATCAGCGTACCAATATGAGCTAAGGATTTAATGAGATTATCTCTCTAAAAGAACAACTAAAAATTACTGATAACACAGGTACCTATTACAATGATACATTATAATATAAATTATAATTTACCTTTTGTTCTTGTGAATTTTTAGAAATCCTTTCTTATTGGATCGCAAACAATTTTAGATACTCGTAGCTATAAGTGTTTCCTTATGAAAGAAATTTTATTATTCCCGGGAGTTGATGGAGTAGAAAATGTTTATAAATACTTAAGGCATTATATAATTGTTGATTTTACGTTAAAATTCCTAATAAAAAATAATTTAATATATAAATTGGCTGTACTTGTATTAAATTTTTGTTTATTTATTTTTATTTATTTATTTTGTTTAACAGATATTTACAATAAAGAAAAGACTAATCTAAAAATGCGAACACTTACAATACTCGATTAGTATTAGTAATACTCCAATGAGAGAGTGGCGCCCTCTGATGAGGGCAAAGGCTGCCTTCGTTATACACAAACAATGACGTGGTATACGGAA